TGATCTTTTCAAGCTTCACATCATGATGTAAAAGCATGTTATGTACTAGGAAGACTAATAAAGTGGCATACGTATACATATATGAGTCCTTTTACCATAAACATTTCTTTTCACATTGTGAGTCCTTCTTTCTAAAGCAAAGCTGTCTTTTTAACTAACATATTTATGTGTGTATGTACATCATTTTATATATGTATGCATATGTGTATGCATATAGGCATGTATGCATATATATTTATGATTGTATAAATATGTGTGTTATAATATAAATATTATATGTTATATGTTATAATATAAACTCATATAAATATGAGTGTGTTTTTTTAATTTCTTATATTTAGTTTTCTTTTATGTAACAATACATCAAAGCAAATGTCTTTATGTCACTAGTACCAACTCATGACGTCATAGTGAGTGATATGCATAGTTGTTTCTGCAACATATTTTTGAGTGACAGAAGCAGCTTCTTTATACAAGAAGATTAGTTTGCTCATTTTGTGCAATTTTGCTCATTTTGTGGAGTCGGTACAACACATCCCAATTAAGTAGAGGTAATATTTTCTCTGTGGTTCATGAGATACTAGTTGACTAGTTTCCTAGTTTCCTCAGTTTCCTGCCTTGACTTTGACTATTGAAAGAAGTGAGTCCGTTATTTTCCTTGATCTCTTTTCTTTCCTGTCTTCTTACCCTTTTTCCTTCATTTCTATTTGTGTTGTTGGCCTTTTTAATAAATGAGAGTGGATAGTTTTACATTCAAAAGTAAGGTCAGCTATAGCAGCTAACTGTGGAGGCCCTTTCAACAACACAGACCCTGCCTTCACAATAAAATAAATCTTTCTCAAAATAATCTGCAATGTACTTGTGGGATATAGTGTAGTATACACAATCATCCTAGTAGCAGTCAGTGAAAACTATTTGGAAAAGGGCAGTCACATTCAAAAATACTTGGCAAGTTCAGGCAGAACAAGTACGTTGATAATTTCTACATTTCGACAGAATTTCATGGTGTGTGGAAATATCTCATGTAGTTGCTCCAAAAAGGGTCAAAACATGTTATGTCCAAATGTCATAAAGAATGACAAAGAAATCCAATATTTTATGAAAAAGTAAAAAAAAAAGTATATAAAGGTCTTTCTCTATTGTTTTTCAACTCTGGGATGTAAACGAACTGGACTTTTCTGAAAATAGTTTAATTATTATCTTATCACTTAAGATTGTGAGCTATATTTAAAAGTTCCTTGTTTATTAAAACATTTTCTCCCACACTGCTGAGTAAAAATCTTTAGCAACACATGGGACCCTGGATTTAATTATTTTGCCTCTATTCTAAAGAATGAACTATTAATAGCATTTATTCTGGGTATTCTATTGTCCTGATTTGTCTGCATAAATTCCTTCATATGTTAAATTTTAACAGTTTTTTTAATGCCACGCTATTCTAAGAATAGAAGGAAGCTTGACAAATAGTCCATTTAGCATTTCTACATACAATGGCATTTCTATGGCAAGTTGTATTACATTTGTTTAATGACTTTTCATGTCATACTACACCATGATTTTTTTTAAATGTCCTATATATTTTTTAAACCATACCGTTTGTATGTTTTTACTGAGAGTCAATCCTATTACTTTGAAATAAAAATAGATAATATGCTGTGCCACTAAAGAGGGGGCTATGCTGTTAAAATGACTGAAATGCTAATGTCAAAGAGGCCGACCTTCTTAATGTGGCTCCTCTTTAATTTGTTCCCTAGTTTGCTTCACATTGGAGAGAAAGATGAAACTTTTGACCAGCAAATGGTATGACCAACAATTATTCCTGACCACTATAAATCTTGAAATAGTGTGACAGTGATTTCTTTGGACGGAGGAGGAACTGGATGGAAACATCCTGACAATGCCAGTTAGATGATGTAGTCAGTTATAAATGATCCTTTTACCTTCGGGATATTTCACCACCAACAGCCGTCTGTAAACTTCGATCAGAAAAGTGTTCCTCTCTCCCAGGGTGAACTCTTTCTGACCCGCCGAACTTGTTAACAGTCACTCGAATTATGAATAATCCCGGTGAGCCACCAACAGCCATGCTAACGACCCCATTAGCATCTCTTATTTGGCGCTCATCTGAGTCCACAGCAGGGGCCGAGGGGCCAGCAGACGTTGTGCAAACGCAGTTGGAGGAATTAACACTCCCATTGACTTACATTGATTTCTCCAGCACAGACTCTATAAGCTGATTAATTCTAAATTACCTTGGTCATCAGGCGAAATAACTGCCCATTGAAGCGCATCATCACAGTGCCTGCTTAAGCACACAGGAGAGCCGTTAAGAAAAGTGACTTTCATTTGATCGTTTGCTTCATTTGTCCTTTATCATATGGTTGTTATCGGATGGTGAGGAAAAACTAATTTTCTGTGTAAATCTAAAAGCTCATTGCATAGCATTTCATTTCTAATGTGGCGGTCCGTGAATGGAGGAGGTCAGGATACAGTGGGTCTATGTGTGAAACAAAAACATTAACTTATTCTAATTTAAGTCTTTAACTTAAATAACATTACAAAATCATCAAAATCAATCAAAACCTCGATGTGTTTGAGTATTTTTGTTGTGTTTTTGTTTAGTTTAGATTTTAAAACAGCAAACGGGAGGAAATACTGTACGTTGCCCATGAAATATCTTTGAGAATGCATGGGAGGTATATGGGAATGTGATTTAGTAGGAGACAGAGTTGCATATCACAACACACAGACCAGTCCTTGTGAGGTGGAGCCGATTTTGTTCTCTTTTCATGGTGGTTGTCCTTGCTTCCTCCGGCCTCCACCTCCCTCACGGCAACAAAGTGGTTTGGATTATAAAAGTGTTGCTTTCAATTCCAACTTCTGTAGCTATTACAATGATTTACCCTGGACCATGTTCAGGCCTGTAGATCTAATTGAAAGCGAGCTAGTTTAAAACCTCTTTCAACGCTGCGTTGTAAATTCACTACAATGGTCACAAATTTAGACGAAAATGGCCTTGGCCGCGCAAAGTTTTGTCTCCACTGGGTGATGGTGAACAATGGAGGGAAGCAGACGCTCTTTAGAATGAGGAGAGGAGGCAAAGTTCAGAGAAGTTCATTCACATCGCTTGAGTGCTGGACTAGCAGGGATAGGATGGCCGGACATAAAGGTGTCAACTGCAATTTACTGTCACAATTTGGCCATTAAGTTGCACTCATCAAGGGTGACTTATAATACGCACAACAGTTCAGCATTTGTGGATCCAATAATCACAAGTAGCACAGTAATAAACAAGGGCCATGGACAACAGTATAATGCTAAGAAGTCGCCATGGAGTGGAGGGAATCTGGGTGTAAATCAGAAGGGAACCAGAAAGAGAAACAAGTTGTGAAAGAGGCCTCAGCACATCTGCCAGTAAAGCTGCCATTATCCCCCCTGAAACACTGGCTCTCATTTACCAAGCCAGGGAAAGTGAAAGTTAGCAGTAAATTCTGACAATATTTGTGTTCTAAACTAACAGTGTTAGTGTGATGGGTGTTCAAATCTCTGCCAAAAGGGGTTTTCCTTGAAGATCACAGTTAATATATACAGGGATTTATTACATTCTTTAAAAAGGGGTCATATCTGCCACGAGAGCTCCTTGAGCAGCATGCAGATGGAGAAATATTATTAGGAAATATTAGGCTGATGGGACCAGCAGTATGCAAATTGTGTTTTTTGAAAGAGACAGATACAGAGATATAGTAAAGCAAACACGTGCTCTCCTCACAGACACCTGCCACACACCTCGTAGAAATGACCAGCTTCAAAACACCGACAACAGTTACTGTTAATATGGCTACATGCGGCAGGTCAGTTAATTCCTAGTGGGATATTCTGGACCGATGGTAATAATTTGGGTGTATTACAGCATTTTTATTCCCATACACTTAATGCTTTCAAGCTTACTGAAACCAATCACCACCCAGATCATCTTCTCCCCGGCCCACATCTCTGACAGCTACACACCTTTTCTTCCAGGGGTCAATTGAAACACCCGCATGCACACGTGTTAAATATTTTTATGGACACATTGAAACACATGCATTCAACACCAATGCAGGAGTTGTAGGGAGGGACGATCCTCTCTGAACCTGCCGTGGTACCTACGCTACGGTTCCACTGATGGCTTCAGTGCCCTGAAACTTAACTGATCAGGATGAACTCTGTTTCACCCTCTCTGTTCATCTGCCAGGGTCATCAGGCCTCTGCTTTGCTTTCCCTCCTGCTATGGATTCCAGATTTCTCTCTGAATTTCTTTTTCGACACAACTTATTGATTGTGTAAGGATAATAAAATCTGTGTTTGTGTTTGTTAGGACCCACTGTGTGTCTACAAAGTAAAATACATTAACTGCGCCCAAATTTCCAATAACCCATGGAGAGCTGCGTTTTTTCTAATTTTATTCATTATTGTGCTATAATCAGGTTGTAATTGTAGATCAACCCAACATCTGCAGTAAAGTCACTCTTTTTACACAAATTTGTTAAGTTGTCAACAATATAAAATGTCAGTACAACTGTTTTTTAATAAATATATCATATCAGACATATATTTTCATAGCTAGGGTCAGGACGCAGTCTAGCTTACCCTAACACCTGGGAGCAGGGCTGAAGAACTAGAAGAACAGTTCCACCCTGCATGTTGACTTTAAAAAAAGAAAAGCACTCTACCTATTTAGCATTGCACCTCGCTGAAGTCTCAAGACAGTTTACACAATAGAAATTGATATATTTTTTATTTCATGCATCCTTCTTCCTTGTCACCTCCTGGTGCTGGAAACCCCCACAATGCAACCCGAGCAAACGTGTTGCACTGCTGGCAGTTAATGAAACCGTAGAGGCACGGTTTCCCAGGGTTTTCAGTCACTGTGCTAAGCTAACTCTGTACTCTACACCATAAAAAAAAACATCCATGTGTTCCACACAAATGGTTTAATAGAAATTAAATAACAAAAAACAGGATTTTCCACATAATTTTTATTAAATAAAAAGGCCATACAATATAACATAATTCACTTAAATAAGTTTGGATAAGATACAAAAGTTATATAAACAGACTCTACATTACATATGTACATAATCCTATAGATACACCTCTGAGCTGATTAAAGTGTTCCATGACTGTATAGTGCCTCTCGTTTAGTTTGTTCAAACAAACTAATATATACATGTATACAAATCCAATGTATTAATATCATAAAATAAACTGTAAAATACGTCATCTACAATATATACAATTCATGCAAAGTCAAAAAATGTAAGTTGATGCAGCCATTGATGTACAACAACCTTTTGTATTCTCAGTTTCACCTCTAAATATAGCTGGTGAACTTGGTTGGCAGATTGTCAACAGGATAGACTGTAGGTCCCGTCTTCATGGCGGGTGGCCCATTTAGCAGAGTCCAGTGACACTTTGTGACCACCTCCACCAGGAAGATCTTCAGCAGGACCTTTGCAAACTCTTTCCCGACACACATTCTGGAGCCCCCTCCGAACGGGATGTACTGGAACCTGGAGGAGTCGGACGAAGGTTTGGTCATGAAGCGCTCCGGCTGGAAGTCCTCCTTGTTGGGGAAGATCTCTGCGACATCATGGGTGTCACAGATGCTGTAGATGACGTTCCAGCCTTTGGGGATTTGGTAGCCCTGAATTGATAAGGGGAACTGATCAGTAAGCAGCTACAGCTTTTCAGTTGTGTCTCAATCTTCCCTTTGCACATTCGGTTCAGAGACATCTTTGTCAACTTACATTGAGCTCAAAGGTCTTCAGGGCCACTCTGAAGCCTCCAGGAACTGGGGGGTTGATCCTCAAAGTCTCTTTAATGACACAACCTGTGTACTTCAACTGCTGCAAGGCCTCAATATTGAGACTGTGTAGTTCCATCCCCTGCTCCTCCTAAAGACAGAGACAAACACGCATTTGAGGAGAAGCTGAGGACCAGTTCTTCAGTCGCTCAAAGAAACATGGCACTGGGAATCAGATCAAAGTTTAACATGACTTATACTAATGAATGAGAAAGCTTCACTGTGGATTACCGTTATGACAAGAATAGGGTATACTGACCCCACTGTTTCATTTCAAAATAGGACTTATTGAGTTGTAGCACAGCCTCTTTTCCACCAAGGTCAAGAACGGTGTTTTCTGCTGTGTGTGTAAACTTCCTCTACAGGATTTTTAGTGCATTTGCAAACTGTATGCACCGCTAGCCGTGAGCCGCCGGCGCTGTGGTCACCATGTTGAGGGCTGTGCAGAGCAATAGATGTGCTTGTCGAATTGCATTACAGCGGCCTCTATCAGAAAGGCATTGGATGAAACGTATTGAACTTAAGATGAACAGTGTATTTACCCTGTCCATCAGTTCCTGCCTCAGTCTATCCACAACTTCAGGGTTCAGGCCCAGGAACATAACCAGAGAGGTGGCCGTGCTGGCTGTGGTCTCATGGCCGCCAAACAACAGCTCTGTGGCAGACTCCTTAATGGCCTGGAACCAGAAATAGATACACATAGAATTAGTTCAGACAAACTAAAATGTATAATTAAATGTATAATAAGAGGGGTGATCGTTTTGTCACATGTGTGATTATATTACATATCATTTAGCTGACGCGTTTATCCAAAGCGACTTACAATAAGGGCATTTCAACCATAAGGTTAGAGGAGATGGCCTCAGTACCTGCATGCTGAACGGTTCCCCGTTCTTCCTGCTGCTGTCTATGAGCTGCTGCAGAGCGTCTCCATGTTGGGACTCCTTGTCCGACTCCTGCACTTTCTTCTTAATGTTCTCCTCTATCTTGGAGTGGATGAAGTTCCTCGCCTTCAGACCCTGGAAGAGCGTAAAAGGATTAATCACCCCGATGCTCACATTCACTGCACATTGATTGACTTGCCCAAGTTATGCAGTTGCCCACAGTGAATAGTTCATATTGTAGGACTGCTGATGTCAGCATGCTGATGAACATGGTTGGCTATGATGTGATATGAGAAATCACAGGTGCATCATGCGTCATTCACCAAATAGCTTGGAGAGAGAAGTCAGATTTGCTGCTTTCAGAAGTAACACTCATTTACAAAATAAAGCTATGGAAAATCTATTGCACATACTTAAAGTAAAAATGGTGCAGCACAGCAGTACATGGATGAGGAGTTTGTCTCTTACCCTGTACAGTCCGCTGAAGGGCACGTCAATGGGCAGAGAGAACAGATTCTTGATCATTTCCTCAAACGCCTCCACCAGCTGCTGCTCGTCGGTCTTGATCTGCTCCGGCTTGAAGCCAAGCAGGATCCTCATGGCGATGCGAAACATCAGCCGCTTCATCTCCGGGTAAACCAGAACACAGGAGTCCTTGGCCACCCACTCCTTCACCGCGGCTCGCACTTCCTCCTGGATGACAGGGATGTAGAGTTCCAGAGCCTCTGTGGAGAAAGCCCGCATGATGGCCTGAAGAAAGGCAAGAGGGTTACATATTTGGAAGCAGAAGCATGTGTGTGCTTTTATCTCTGACTGAGGTGCTCCAATATTAGATTTGGCAACAGTAGAATTTTGCCTCGGTGCACTGAAAACAACATCTTACCAAGTCATTTTCAAATGCAAATCTACTTATTTCAATGATTTAATTTTTTAATCAAATGAGATGTTCACAACTCCAGTGCAGTAACCTGCGTTTGTATTGTACTGTATTTAGATACAGACATTACTTTTTCGAAATCCTGCACATGGAGATTTAAGTTCAAATATTACAACGTTTTTAGGATCCAAAGATCAAAAATGATAAACGGTATTGATAAGGCTGCTTTAATGGATTACTAAAGAATGCTGATAGTTGCTGTACTGCCTAATTTAAGTTATGCAGAAAATAATTCCGTATAAATGCGCCTCATGTACCGTTGCGTATGTCTGCGTCAATAACGATTTATTGGAAAAGTTCCAGGCTGCACTGAAATAACAACGATGAACTCATATCAGCTGTGATACCGACGACCTTTTCAAACGAATTCCCAACGCACCTTTTTCTTGGTCTTGTGTTGGGCACCGTGCACGTTGGACAGGGTGTCCGAGCCCAGGATGGTGCGCACGGACGCGGGCCACTGCACCGACACGAGCCGGTTCTCCCCCAGCAGGATCTGGCGGACGTTGTCCGCTCCGGTGACGCGCACCGTGGGGCTGCCGAAGAGGTGCGTGCGGTAGATGTAACCGTACTTCTGCCGCTTCATGCGCAAAAACTTTCTCCTCTGCGAAGGTGCACAAGAACCGACGCACCACGATGAGCAAACTACACACAGTGATCCAGCTCGGTGATTACGTTTCATTAATTAAATAAAACATCTTGACAAATAATACTGTGACTACAGATTAGCTATTCATACCACTGGATAATCCCGACAGAGCGTATAACGCCGCACATGCGGTTTGTTTGTGGACGTTGTCCTGGAGGCGGGCAGGGAGCGGCTTACCTGCAGGATGAGCTGCAGCGTCTCTCCAATGAACGGTAAGCCCATGGATCCGGGGGGCAGCGGCTTCGGGCAGCTGGGATCTCTGCCTCGGATCATGTAAACCTCCCACAGCTTGAGCGCCACGAGGAACAGGAGGACGGGGAGCACGATGGTGCACAGGAAGGTGGCCAGCAGCGTGCTGAGGGCCATGTTGCAGCTGGAGAGTTGTGTTCCGCCACGCACGATGACTCCCGGGCGGCTCGCCCGGCGCTTTTATAGGCTGTCGTTACCTTCTCCTCCCTCAGATAAATTAGTTCACTCAAAGTTCATCTTTAATTGTGGGCTTGTCGCTCGGCCCCGCCTCCGGCCCGCGGAGGCCGACTCGCCCTCGCCATTTGTTCCACGGGGGCCGCATCCTTAATCCCTACCTCCTGTTGTACGCAGACAACTGAGAGCACAAAAAAAAGGTGCCGGTTCCCTCGGAGACAATGGGAGGCTAGTTTACACACTCATTACCTTTGGCTTTAGCCCCGCTAGGGGGATCAGTGAGGACGCCTGCAGGGAGGCTGCATTCAAGCAATCCGGCAGAAAACGGGACGAGAAGAATGTCTTAATCCTTCTTCTGTGAGCCGCACTGCATTCAACGGCAGAGGTTTTGTTTAGCTTAGCGCATGCACACACACATGCACACACACATGCACACACATGCACACACACATGCACACACACTGCGAACGAGTTGGTGAGGGTGAACACAGATATGCACGTTATTCCCCCACGAAGAGCACTCATCTGGAGGCGAGGTGACGTCCTGGATAAACCTGTTGGAATTGAACCCTCTCGTTAATCTAGTGGGATACTTTGACCCCCCCGCACACGCACACGCACAGTGCGTGTCGTTATAAAAATGATATCTCCCAGTGGGTTCAAACTTGGGTCAGTAGAGAATGGCTGAGGTACGCACGCGCGAACAAGGTTATCCCCGGGCACGACAAGTGAGCACAGAGAGAGAAATGGAGAGAGGAGGGAGGAGGGGGGAGACAGGAGGGGGGAGTGGGGCTCCAAGGCGCTCATCTACCGAGCCACCACATCCTCTCTGCATTTGGTCTCTTGTTTTTGTTTTGTTTTACGACCTAGTCACATCCGTGTGTGTGTGTGTGTGTGTGTGTGTGTGTGTGTGTGTGTGTGTGTGTGTGTGTGTGCGCGCGCGCGCGTCTGTCAGAGCGAGGTTTGGCTTTTTTACAACAACACACGTTCCTGTTTTCTTTGGACAATAAGGGTTTGGGGGTTTATTCCAGTCCAGGTTTTTTGACTTGATGTCTGTTTGACAATACTTTTTAGACCAACAGATTGAAAATGAATAGATACCCAATTTATTATGAGGCTCTTGTGCAAACATGGGCTACACCGCTCCCATATTTGTTTTAGATATAATATTACCATGATGCTGCATCCATCATGTCAGATCATGTTGTCATTTAGTGGAAGATATTATCAAGACCCTACAATAAACGAGTAGATGGAGTTTTGGAACTGCCGGTGGCTGGTAGTGTTCAGGGTGAATGGGTTTCCAGCTGGTCCTGCTGGTCATGGTCACTTTTTCTCATCACAATGTGAATGTGTGAAACAGGATTCTGCTGTTCAGGTGTGATAAGGGGGCGGGGGGGTTAAGTGTGGAGGATGATTCCCTGGTCTAAACCCAGACTTAGTTTAAACCTGCCGATCAGCTGCTGCACTCGTCACTTCGAAGCTGAGCAAAAATGTAGTATTAGTATTAGTATACTAATCAAATGCTCACTTGTCAGTAAGATACCACTTTTAAGTACTTGTGTAGCTGAAAGTAGTTACTTTTATTAAGTGTCTGTTCTAGAACTATTGCTACTAATGAATTCACCCGGTAAAGTGTTTACTGTTATCATAACAAGACACACTTACGCACACACACTTACGCACACACACACACACACACACACACACACACACACACACATTCAGCACAAGTGCAGAGGCACACATGTTTGTATCTCCTCCCCCAGCTCCCACACTGACCTGCCTGTAACCCTGACATCTCAATGAACTCTCACGCTCAACCAAGTTCACTGTCCATCAAACAGAGAGGGAGGGACTGAGATAGAGTGAGAGGACAGAAGGAGGGAGAGAAAACAGAGACAGAGAGGACAGAAAGAGGGAGAGGGAGGGAGAGAAAACAGAGAGAGTAAGGGGAGACAGAGGGAGGGAGACAAAATACTCAGCGTGGTTACATGGATTCGATTAACTGGCTCAGTCGGACTGAAATCGAATTATCCGTTTCATGTAAACACCTTTGTCCGACTGTGCGGTCCAACTACGATCCGATTAACACCCCTGGATAACTCGATCCGATCCAGTTGATAGTTTGACTATTGCTGCATGTAACGGTGATTCGGATGAGGAACTGGACTTTGCGTCTTTGCGCATGCTTGACATCCCGACGGCGTCTTCTCTCCGTTATCAAATCAGCCAATAGCGCCATTCGCATTCGCTGTGCTCCTATTAGCATCATGCACACATAGTAGAGGGATGTAGCTTCACCTTGCTCTCCGTTCGCCATCTTTCTCGTAATGTTGATGTTGTTGTTGTTGTTGGTAGTGGTGAAGCGGTCAAGCGGAAATGGCTGTATCACAACTAGTTGTAATGAAAACAGCGCCACCTATCGTATCGGATATGACATGCTTTCGGCCAATGATTCGATTTATTCACTGCCATGTATATTGGGATAATAGCACTTGCCCCGAAAGATAGCATAGTGCGACTAAGCAAAGATTCAAATTATACCACCATGTAAACACACTGACAGGTAGCCAGTGCTCTTCCAGTGGTGAATACTTGGTTTCCTTTAACCCTGTAGTTCACAACCTTTTTCTTTTTCATTTGAGGATATAGGAACATTGTAAGACACCCCGCCCCCCCTTCTACCTTCTTTGTTGAATTAATTGCATCATAATTTCTAAATTGTGAAAACGGTGGCGTGGTGGTTAGCACTGTCGCCTCACAGCAAGAAGGTCCTTGGTTCCACTCCGCCCAGTGGCCTTTCTGTGTGGAGTCTGCATGTTCTCCCTGTGTCTGCGTGGGTTCTCTCCGGGTTCTCCGGCTCCCACAGTCCAAAGACATGCTCTGGGGATCAGGTTGATTGGGGACTCTAAATTGCCCGTAGTGTGTGTTAATGGTTGTGTGTAGCCCTGCGATTGGCTGGTGACCAGTCCAGGCTGAACCCCGTCTATCGCCTGAAGTTGGCTGGGATAGACTCCATGTTTAAGTAAATCTACTTAACATATTCAAATTGAAGTTGAAAATCTTAAGGCATACACCGGGGTCTCTCTTCCTGACCAACCATAGTGCTTTTAAAGCCCAGGGACAGATTTGCCTCGTACTTTCTAGATGTTACCTTTTTTTCAGCCGTTGTTGTTTCCATCTGATTTGCGCTTACTGATGTCAGAAGACATATTGGATTTAAAAGTTTAAATCAAAAGTACTTAATCAAATAAAAGGTGTTGTGCTAAAAATGTCAGCTGAGGATCCGCTGGTTTCTGCAATCAACAGGCCACAAAGTAGCTCATGGACCATCCCTGTGGTGACTGTCGCTTACTTCCACCAACCAAGATATTTATACAGGTCAGTAAAGGTTTGAATGTTATTCTGGGCTTTTTTTAGAATATGGTGGTCTAATGCGGTATTACACTGGATGGTGCATTCAATGTTACTCTAACCACTCACCAAAGACCAACATTTGAAAGCCTCGATAGCGTTGTTGGTTCCGTTGCACAGCTGATGACACTTAGTGTTGGTCTCGCCTGTGGTGCTCAGTGTCTCTGATTGACGGGTAAATCAACCAGCCGAACTCTGTGGACTTTGGGGGAATGACAGGTCTGTAACCGCGGCAAGGCTCCGAGCTCTCACTGGTGCTGCTTATAGAGCCTCCTCCGACACACACTCACACTCCCCCGGGTCGGCGAGGCAAAGGACAGCAGCCATGAGTCCAATGCCTTCCCTCTCAGCCCCTCCAGAGGTCTAGGACATTACACAAACGACACCTCTGACAGTGCGATCCAGCTGTTTGTCTGATGTGACCCAGTGTCACGATGCGAGCACGGCCAAGTAGGCAAACAATACATATGATATGGTCTCGCCTGATATCGCTGTCCTCTGCCTTTGTTGACGAAGAATACCACAGCCAGGTGCAAGCTGAGTAGCCTGCATTGACACCGCACTCTTATGGTAACTGGTCCTACTGACAACTGGGATTTATAGTTTGAGGTGCAAATCTGAGGTGCATTCACAGTGGGAGGAGGTCCGAGGGAGTGTCAGGCTCCTGGTTCAGCATGAGGTCACTCGCTTTTGGTCCACTGACATCATTCTCTGTGTAAACCCTGTAGGAACTCAATAGGAGAGAGGGAAAAAGTTGTCCCAACAACTGGCCCCATAAATGGCAAGACCATGCATTTGCAGTTAGCATTTTCAGCTGTCATTTTACCAAAGCTGTTGGAGTTAAATGAGACACCCAGAAATGATTCATTCCAGAGATAAATTAAATGATATATCTGTTAATGATCAACCCCTTTATTGTTATATCGATTGGCACATGTGTGTGGACCTCCCACTCTTAATCTCAAGTCACTCTATAGATGGAAGGAAGGAAGAGGGTTCAATGGCTTGGAGGAGACTGCGATCCGGTCACCATGATACTGGTATATGTGTAGGTCAGACCGGATCTCCTCCTCCTCCTCCAGTATTGTTGAAATGAATGTGAAAGCTGTTTACTGCCTTGTTAAACTGTTTGATCTCTGCTCTAAAATACTTGTCACTTCTGCAGGAAGGATCCCCCCCTCACACAATGCCTCGACACAGGAACCTAATATCACCCACACATGATTTATTCAGAGAGCAGCGGCTCAACGTTGATGTTTGCTCTTTGAAATCTTTTGTAAATGAAATCCAGGCTGTTTTTGCAGTGTATGTGCTTTTCTTTTGCCGATGAGTTATTTTTAATAACATGACTCAATTCAAATAATAATTCATGGCGTCAAATTATAAGAGAAGTTATCCTAAGATGCCTTTCATATAGAGGTCTAGACCGTACGAATTCTTAATATCCAACATTCCCCCTCCAGCAAGCGCTGGGGCTACGGTGGCAAGAGAAAACCCGTGGTTACCCATCAATGAACAGGCCTGCTGGATTGTAAAGTTGCTCCTAGGGCAAAGCCTCTGTTTGAAGCTGCTACCAACACGTGTTGTTTCAGGACAGAGACCACAAACGGACTCAAAACATGATGCGCAGTGATGCGGGACGACCAGAAAGTGACACAAAGGAACACGAAGAGGGTCGTAAAACACAAAAACGAGATGGTGTTCCTAAGAGATAAAAAGCGTCTACGAAAAAGAGAAAGAATTATAAATGAGACACTTAAACGTCAAGGAAGATGACAGGACAATGTCTCTTTGAATCTGTGGCTCTTGCACCATCTGCATAACTTACGTCTGTGCTCAGGGCCCAAGGTCTCATAACATGTTCAGGAGTTCTCAATTACCACAACAGACTGGACTTGAACTTACCGTTGGACCGAAGAGCATCACTCTGAGCATTCAAGGTCAGTTAACGGTGTGTTTGAGTGCTGAGAGGTAAATCCACCTCCGCTTTGTAGACGAAAAAGAGATTGAGGTGTGGAAGAAAGGTCGCACTGTAACGAATGTAACAAGACAGTAGCTGTGACAGCTACATAAGTGTGTGTGTGTGTGTGTTTGTGTTGGCAGGGTGGCTGTTGTCCAGTGATTATAGAGCTTTCCAAATATCTCTCGCCTCATTACATCTGCGGCGACGGGGATCCGTGCATCCAAGCGCTGACCCAGGCCAAAGTTCACTTGCTGTTTCCCAGTAAGCGTGTGTGTGGTGGGACACAGCGAGGCGCCGAGGGTGAGATACACGATGACAGAACAAGTGTTTGAGTGTGAGGGAGAGGAAGAGGGAGGGATGAGCACCCCTATCTAGGTTGGGACTGGCGGTCCAGCTACAGATGAGGCACACTATCGCTGAGCCTTTGTTTCTCTCAGGGTCTTTAAAGGGTCACTTCAGTCACATACTACTCTTTTCTCAGTTGCTTCTGACCTATACAGTAGGTTAGAGACTTGGTTGTACAGCTCAAATATGGTAAATGCAAATGACAAAAACCAGGAAGCATAAGGATGTCAAATTAAGGAAAAGAAAAACAAAACGGACTAAGTGTGGTTTGGATGAAAACGGGCCATTACTCAACCGATGTCTCTGTGGTTTTGAAGCCTCAAGTTGGGCATTTTGGCCGCAACTATCTTGGCTTTTAAGGAACTGGTAGTGACGTGAAATGTTGGGGCTAAATACTACTGCATGCCGACACAAAGTTCATGAAGCGTGCTGTGAAAAGGTCAAAGTTGGTTAACCAAAACATGGAAAACTCCCAGACTGCATACTCCTCTTTATGGTTCATTTGACTCATTTATTAAATGAATATCATGCGGTATTGAAGAAAGAAACAAGCGCACATTATTGTTGAATAAACCTTTATTACAGCACACAAAAAAAGAACAAATTTAGGAAAACACCATCTGAGTCTCACTGAGAACAATGGCAAGGGTAAAGCAAGGATTCCTTTGGATATTAAAATGTACCATCTCTCCACTTCTGGGGAAGGCCAGAATCCTCATTGAAATGATCATTGGTTTTAATTTGTTTTGCGCCAAATCAAAAGATCACAGAGTTTTGATTTTCTCAAATTCAATCAATTGAAATTGACTTTAAATGCAGAGTGCCAGGGCTTTATTCCAGGTTCTAAAGTATATTGTCCCATGTGTTACGATCTACAGTATATACAGCTAATGAGCAACAGCAAACATGCAGTGTTTTCTATTACCATGAGGATTTGTGAATTGCTTCATACTAACCAAAGTATCTGGCCAGTGGTCAAATTTTGATACTGGAGGCAGTAGGAAACCATTCATCAACAACATATTTGACTGTTAGAAGCCAATGCACCGCCATGCACACACCTCCAAACTAGGATCACCGGTTTAAACCCATGAGCAGAACCCAACAGGAGGCGTGTGCTCGGAGACCCTTTGACAAAAACTGAATATGGATGTGTCCTTTATTTTGGAAAACATTGATGAGCATTTCGATTACCTCTCGGAGCACGCTTTAAATACTCCATATTGGAATAGTACTGGGTCTAAGCTAGAACATTATAGAGCATTTTTGATAACCTAAACCATGCAAATGAGTGGAGAGAAGGTACGAACAAAAATAACTGAGCTCCGCAAACTACTCGACCGTGTTCACCAGGTAAGCAACAAACGCAAACTCTTATTAACATATTTACCAAGGTGTAGATGGAGGTCCATATCAGTGTCAACCTCCAACTCTGCAGACTGCTGCAATATTTTCTTTACAAAATATGCAGTATATACATTTTCATTTACAAGAAAATTTTAAAAAAGGCGGAACAAAAAGATTTCAGTGCAAAACTGCCTGCTGAAAAAGGACCACAGACCCAAAACATAAACAGAATAGAAACTGTTGCATTACAAAATGTCATCAGTCATCTGCAGGAATTTAAATAAACATCAATCTGCCCGCAAGACTGGAAAGCCACCAATTCATTATTGCTGTGCTTTGGAAATATACATGGGTTATTTGATTCTAAAGCTTAATTTCATCCTGAGAAACAAAAAGAAAGAATTAAGTATGAAATGTATTGAACTGTTTTTATATGTATGTAAGCTTTGACTGGTACTGTGTATATTTATATATATTCCACAATAACATAATTTCCTATGTGGGCCAGTAGTTTGAGTTGTAAGACAAAACTCCAGTTAATGTCACTCAAATAGTTTCCTTACCCAACAAGTGACAGGATTTACAGAGGGAGGATGAGGGCTTGCAGTGATGTCCCCGCTGACATGTCCCCCTCGCGCCCGACACTAGTACACGAGTACAGCGGTGATAGCGGACTGACAGAGGTAACATTGATATGCCAGTTGGCCTGTGGGTGTTCTGACTCTATTAACGTTGACACATGCACGCATGCTTACCGCATGAATATGCCAACGTTAGCATGATAATGTTGTTAGCAAACAAAGATTAACATTCGCTAAAATTGTAGAGGTCTTCTGTTCTACCAACTTTAATTGAATTGAATTTATTTGTTTGTTTGTCACTGCGACACCAATCCCAAATCCTCCTCATGTCCTTGGAGCCTTTGCTGACGACCATCTTCATTGGATTATTTGGTAACTTTCGGTGTTGTCAAAGATGGACCAATCCTCAAAAAGACACTTTTCAGATCTTCAGCTTGGTTTCTTGTGTGCAGAGAACATGTGACTAATTAAACTCGCATCGGGGTGTCAAAGACTCATCCCCCCCTGTCTCAATTCATTGGTCTACATGCTCAATGGAAGTCAGAAATGTGCTATTTTATCAATCAGTCTTTTGAGATGACACAGCAACAACAGTCCGAGTACAAGGACAATGAGTTGAACTTCCTCTGATAATCAATTCACTCATTATTACTTTAATGAATACATTATTAAACACATTAAGTACAATTTAAAAATCAATAAAAAATAATTTAATGTTGGGGACACAGCCACGGAATGAGGGAAATGTATATAATGTTTATTTGATAGAGTGCCACTGCACTTTACTCTACATTGTTAGTGTCCACCGTTTTCCAACTCATTTGTCGTCATTTCCTGTGGTTCGTCATCAGAGGACAACGCTGGCTCCCCCCGACGTAGGAGAGGGTGTCATGGCGTGTCATAACTTATAATATCTAATTGATGTTGAAAGTTGGCGTGGTAGAATGATGAATGTATTCCATGCTTTTTCTTCAATTGACTTGTACTCTGAGTCCAGTAAATTGTTTAGTATATTGTGTTATTTACATTGAGTGTAATGTCTGTGTGGGTGTTCGTGTGTGTGGTCCCTGCATGCCTTAGACAGGGACGCTATTGCTGTGCCTCTATGTATGTGTGCGTGTGTAAGTGGCATATCCGTCCCTTTCAGTTTTCACTTTATTAGATGTGTGAATATCTCCATCCTCTGTGCGCGTCTCAGCAGTTTGTTGTGTGCATGAGACAAGAAGCACACATGTTTTAGGAGGACATTCCATTGACCAGACTCCTCAGCTGTTTGACCACAGTCTCTATCAGTTTCTGTTTGTCTCTATCGTTCTTCCTGAACTGAGAGAAGATGTTGTTCTTCTTACTGGTGTCCTTCATCCTGGAGAGAGACAAAGAGAGACTAAATATTTATATATAGAGTGTGCAGAGGGGTGAACTAAAAAATCCTCAATTGGTGATGATGGAAGATTTCTCCACATTTAGAGAACTTCTTTACTTAACTAATAGGTATCTTGATGAAACTTTGATTACTTCTATTAAGACAATACTTTTCCTGAAAAAAGTCTAAAGACAATTCTTTTTGTATTAGGAGTTTTCTGAAATGTATTTTAAAGTGACCGAGAGCTCCAGGTTCAGGAGTTTGTTCAACTATGTTTGAATGCAGTAAAGACAACAATGCATGTTGACTACGTGTGGACTGTGTACATCTGAAAGTGTCACTTCAATAAGTAAACAGTTACATTTTAGTTATTTTTTTCCACTTATTATTTAACAGACTAAATAAAGTGATTGATTTAATATACAGTATAAATAGATCAAAGTTGAAATATTATATATATATATATATATATATATGTTTCTTTTGTAGAGATTCGGCATGATTCCTTGTTCTTAGCCGTACCACTGAGATTCTGGCTCAACCCACTTATTAACCCAATTATGCGCACACATTATTTTGGTTAAGTAAGGTGCAAACTAACTAACTATAATCTAATTTTGAAAACGAGACTTTAAGTCACTATTGTGATGAGTTACAGAGGAGGTAGAGCCACGTTCATGAGAGCATGCAGAGACCAAGAAGAAGCAGAGAGGAAGCTGCACCTACCCCCTGTAGACTCTGAGCCGCACAGAAAAACAACAGAGAGGAGATTTAGACACTAATTCATAGGCTTCTCGGAAATGCTATAACATAAACTGCAGCCAGTGACATGTTCACACGTTTCCACAACATACCCAGAATGCTCTGCTCCATAGAATACCATAGCGACAATAATTTCATCAGAACAAAACATGACCCATTCAAATGGTAATGTCAGATGTTTTGTGGAAATCTGATATGTTAAGCTAAATACATATTCATTTTCCATGTGTATTCCATGAATGGGAAATTGGGTTTTTTCCCAGTCTTCCAGGACAGATGGGAACCTGTTGACTACTGTTAAGTCAAGCATCCTGGCCTAATCATTTTCTGGTTCAAAGGACAGTTGAGACCCCCCCCCCGTCACCCCACACTTCACCTTCACTTTACCAGCACACCTACATCAGCACAATCCGGCCTGCACAAAAAGTGATTGCATTATTGTATTATTGTTCTCATATCAGCTGCACTTACTTCTCCAGCAGGGCCAGGGCGGTGGCTGGGTTCACCCTCAGGTATTTGGAGGTTGGTTGGCCGTAGTCTGCCAGGTAAGTAGACCAGTCCCACACCATGAACAGATCCAGGAGCTATAGAACACACAGAGATGTGCAACATAACAGGTTTGAACTGAGATTGGTCCGTCTGCCAACCCAACACTAACTCATTTCTCCTGGGAAGTTTCCCAGCTTTTTAGATCCTGCGGCATTGCGCATATGGGGCTCAAACAGGAAGCTGATCCTATTTCAGTCTGCATACATTTTTATGCTAAGTTCCTCTTTCTTTAACCTCTGACTTGGTGTTTCCAGACACCAAGTCAGAGGTGAACATGTTCAAATGTGGGGAGGAGTGTGACAGATGAAAATGTTGTGACATCTTTTGCTAAAAAAAAAAAATCAATAAACTGGACCCTTATGCAGACCCTTGCTGGGTGTTGAAGAGACGCTTTCCTCATACACATGAAAAAATACCAAGCTGGTTATGTTACGTCCTTTGGAGGCAGTTTTTGTACATTTTAGAGGGGGAGGGGGTCCCTCTCGACGGAGGGCTACGTGCCATGTGTCCATGACCTGAGCAGGATGGAATGGAGGGAGGACGTCTCCTTTTAGGTTACAGTAGGGATGGCTGTGCTGGAGTCACGTCCGACTGTGTGAAGACGGTGAACACTTGTGTATCCTTGAAGAGAGGAAGGGAGGTTCTACTGCTTAACATGATTAGTGTTAAGTGCGAACAGGAACATTCAAAATGACCTCCCCATGACCCTGGGTTAACCTCATGGAGCTGACCCCCCCACCACACACACACACACACAGTGTATGCTAATGTCAAAGGGTGAAACAGCTGGGTGTTTGGGTCATGTTGAAAGAGCAGTGAAAGAACAGCTTAGTGATAATGGCATTATTCAGCGCACTGAGAGACAGAGGGACTCGGCAACAAAGCCATTCTTCTCACCTGGAGCCATCTCCCTCTGCAACACTTCCAGCTCCCGACAGAACCCGGCTGCTGTGCTACCAGCCGGCTTTCAAGCACTACTAGTCACTAGTTTGTTTTGCGCACGCACGCACGCCATTTGGATACCGGAATAGACATCCAATTTTCTTTTTCTTTTTTTTTCTTTTTTTACGTAAAGCATTGTTGATAAGAATCTCAATTTGGTCTTTGAAGAATTGTGAATACGATGTAAAGAGAACAGGACATTTCACATTGGAAATGTCATGAATAGTTATTTACTGTTATACGGATCTCTGGCAGGGCTCCAACGATCACTGCATGCTCATATTTCCAAGCATACAGTGCAGTTCTCGATACCCTTGTTTATTGCCTTCTACCATATTTTAATAACAATTAGAAACCAAGTGTCGTCAACATGACTTAAAGTAGAGCTTAATGGGTTGAAGGCGGTTATTGGTATCAAACTGAGGCTTATACAACCAATACTAATCATAATAAAGTCATTTTCATTCAAACTGCAGCCAGATCAATATGTAAAAGGAATAGTTTTTAAAGAGGAGAGGATTGTTTGCTGTGTGCAGTATGTATGATATAAAAGATAATGCAGCCTGTGGAGGGTGGAACCTCTTCTCCATCCAACCCCACCTGGGGGATCTCATCCCTACTCCACTCTGTCACATACGTCTGACAGTGTAGACGACAATCAGGGGGATCTAGTAGGACTCGGCTGGGCGAACTGGGTCATGTTATCATAAGAGTCAAATGGTAAACATTTCTAGGAAATATTCAGCTTTTGACATGTGCGAGATAAAATACTGCTTCTTTCAATGGAGTGAGGTAGCTTTGAGGGGAGCATTTAACAGCTTTCCTTTCACACCTAACTCAGCAAATTAGTTAATTTTTTATTTTACAGAACCAGAGTTGGTCATGGTTGGAGGACAGGCCAAGAACATTTGATAGTTTTTATGGTATTTGTTTGAATTAAGTCTGTTTTCAAAAATGCTGAGTATGTTTTGAATGATAATATTGACTATTCTTTCAAATCCTGGTAACTTGTCAAAAATTGTATCTTAAGAAGAGGTAGCCATCCCATGTCACAGGGGACACATCTTGTTACTCGGCAACTTTTGAGCATTTAAGTACTGGTGCTTTTGGCAGTTTAATTTATAATAAATGACAAATTTGTTATGAATTACATATATACCTGCAAATACTATTATATTTTAGATGTTTTTGTATGTTGGTAAACAAGTAAAAATTAGGGCCAGGCAAGGTGACGCAATAATTAACGGCAACAATTATTTTACTGCTACTGTTAACGCAGTTGATAGTAACTTGCATCACCTAAAGTGCGTTTTATTTCTTCGACTGAGATTCTCCAAAGGGAATCAACTACAAACATGAACTTCAGACTAAAAAGCCCCTGCACAGTAAATCCCAGCTTTGTCCTTTTTGCTGGAGCACTTGACTCTAAAAGGGACACGTACTAAAGATAGATTATTGATAGATAATTAGACTACTGATGGACTGTTTATGCTGCTCCGTAATAAAATGTATATGTCAAAACATATGTCAGGGGTGCAAACTCGTCAGGGATGAAAAAGGTGACAAAGATCCGAACCCCTTCGGGGAATATATATATATATATATATATATATATATATATATATATATATATATATTTGTTTTGCATATGCTTCAATGTTATTCCAGTAAAACACAAATAAGCTGCGGCTATTAAGCTCGGATGGTTAACAACTTTCACAACCCCTTTAACTTCTCTTTGATCCTTTTCCGAACAAGGGAAATGAGAAATGAAGCCAGTTCTTTTTTTTGTTTTTACTTCTGTTTATTAGAATTTTACATGGATAACTCACATAATCAACATTTGAAATACTTCCTACATAACTCCCTTCCCATTTGCCTCCCCCCACACCAACCCAGCATCCCTTGATAGAAACACAACTAAATATTTAATTAAACATCTGCATACAATATTGAATTACACACAAAACAAAATAATATAAACATGTCAGGTACACTCTGTTAAAAAGGCAGAAAAATCTCATATCTTTTTTGCCTTCTTTGCCCGTACCAGTACTTCTAGTGTTTTTTCCGCTTCTGAGTGGTTACGTGCCTCAATTTGGCTTGCACGTCCTCCTCCACTGCAGTCTTCCTGCTTTGCTCACCACTGGTTGATGGCTGGCACTCTTCATGCCTCTTTTTTCTTCAACAAGGCCTTTTGTCTGCGAGCCTCGTCTGTTGTTCCTGCAGTGTGGATGTTCCTGCAGAGGACCTTATCAACCCTGGAGAGCTTCACATCATCTCTCTTGAACATCTGGATGGCTGTCTGACTCCTGGACCTGAGGGCATATGTGGTTGTCTGGATAGCATTGTAGGTTGCCATGCTCTTTTTAGTGCTTTTGTTGGTAATTATGTCTCCCATGGCACTAAATGATGACTCTACCATGGGTCCGTGGAAAAGTCAGTGGCAGCTTTTTCTGCATGTAGGCTTCTGTTGACATGTATGCAGTCTTCACTGTGTCGAGAAACTGCAGCACAATCGGATGACTTGGATTTTCTGCCTTCAGTTTCTCAGCCACGGGTCCGACATAAAGCTCCCTGAGAGGCAGCATTTTGTCCCTGAACTCCATCTCCATGAGCTTCTTTGGAGTGGCGTGAAGATGCTCAGCCTTGATAAAGCAGGCCATGAAATTGGTGACTACTCCAAGCTGCTTGTCATGCAGTTTGTGGACAAGGGTTTGGCTACCCTGGAACACCAACACATACTCCTTGAGGATGTCAAGGATGCCTAGGTAAACGCTCAGCTGGAGGTTAGTGTTGAGACTCTCGAACCAGAGTTTCTTCACCACCCTCTCTTTTCTGTCCTTACCAACTTGTGTCATTCCTTTTTTGGAGAGGTCCTGATGGAAATACTGGATCCTGGCCTTTGCCCGCTCACCAACACTACGGTCCTTGTAGATCTCCTGTAGGACGTCTTCATAAAGGATCTTGTCTGCCTGACTGAAGAATCCAAAGTACAGGACCTTGTATGCAGGCAACATTCGGAGAGTGCTGATCCCCACATCATAAGCCGAAAGCCATCGATGTGCCACAAACCGTTGTGGGTTCGTTCCATGAACGTCCATAAAGTCACAGATCAATCAGGTATTTCAACTGGTCTGAAGCCCACTGGTGGTCTGTGTGAAGGTCAGCGAAGAGCTGCTCGAGGTGGTGGCCGAAGGGGGCAGCAAACTGTTTGGCGGCATTGTGGATGTGGTGGCAAGAATCTCCATCAACATCCAAGAGGTTCTGGCAGTGCGTCCCTCTGATTCTGGTCTCCAGCCCAGACTTGCTCCCACGCATGACATTACAGGAGTCCATCATCATACTGATAAGGTTGGCAAAAGGAATTTTATGGTCATTGAAAAAGGTCACCAAGGCCGTTTTCAAATACTGAGCAGTGCCCTTTAGCCAAGGTGTTCAACTACCACATGCTTCAGCTCCTGATTGAAATAGCACACAAGAATGGACAACACCTTCTTATTGGAGTTTGATGTGCTCTCATCCAAGTTAATTGAGAATGGTGTTGACAGATGCTCTCAAACGTCCTCTCTGAGAAGGTGTGACCCAGGCCCTGGACCATCTTGTATGAGGCAGCAGTCCGGGACAGCTTCATGCCCGTCAAAGCTGGTTTATCCCGAGCCAGTGTCTGGGCAAGCTCAACAATGACAGGAGCTACAGATAGGGGGAGGGAATGTTCTGCAATGGTTCCAAGAACCAGTGCCCGGAAAAAAAAAATGTTTTAGTTAGTATTAGTATTAGTTAGTATTTCATATGATACCCCTTGCAAAGTACATCTAAATAATACTTTATAAAAAAACGATTTCCTTGTCTGCTTATCTAGGCTTAATACTTTAATGATCTATGATAACAACTGGCACATACTGGCTAACCAACACTCACTTCTGCATTTGCTACCCTTTCAAAGAGAGGTACTGGCACCTGGCACTCTTTCCCTCATCTGCTCAGGGCCAGGTATTGATGAGCTCTGCTGTGATGGGCCAGGCATTGATGAGCTCTGCTGTGACTGGCCCTAAGTTGTTGACACTAATATGCTACGTGTGGTCATAATACC